TTTTTTTTTTAATTTTTAATATTTAAAAATTACATTCTTATAAAAAAATACTCTTTTAACATTTATTTTTTTATTTATAATATTTAAATTTAAAATTTTATTTTAAAAAAATAAATTTATGTCATTTAATCCAACAGATGATTGATACCTACTTGTTTCTTTGATAAACAATACATTAACATTCTTTATAAACTAGTCTCACCAACTCACGTGCTATGGATTTTGATTGATTATTTGACCTTAGGTTCTTTAGGGCTTTTTTTGAAAAAAAAAAAAAGAAGTAAAATTAAAAATTAGTATTGTTTTCCAAAGGAAAAGGTTAGCAGCGTCCTAATTCATAGAAAGACAGAACGGAACTTTTTTTCGTTTTTTGGTAATTTACAGACAGAACAAAACCGTGCTAAATTTGAAATGTGATTGTACTGCGCTGCCTCTGCTCCTAAACGGCCTCTGCTCCAAAACAGACAATATATAGCCTGAAGAAGATTCAAGAACAAAACGATGCTGCTAGTGCTTTCCACACATGAAAAAGCTGTCGGTCTGCTTGGACTGGGCATGGTGAAAATTCTGACCCACCTTGTCCAATCCATCTACCTTTTAGCCTTTCCAATCACACCAAGCCAAACCAACTTTTTTCTGATAGACCCCTTCCTTCACTGTGTCACATTATTATTGGTTTTTGTTTTTTAACAAATTGTTAAGGTGCGGGTTTAAAACCTATTTATAAAAGAGAGAGAGCGCACCTTAAATTAGTAGACTGCTAGTTGACCCGAAAGACTAGATGTGTCACATTATTATTGGTTTTTTTTTTTTTTAAATAAGTTGTTAAGGTGCGGTTTGAAACCCGTTTATGGAAGAGGAAGGGCGCACCTCAAATTGACAGCCTACCAGTTGGTCGAAGGGTCAGGTGTGTTACATTATTATTGTTTTATTGCGCATTGCATTGCATTCTTCATCTCTACCTAATTAGGGTTTATTTCTATTTCATTTTCTCTTGAATGATGAAAATTTTGTAGCTTGTTAGGTAAAGCTTGCCCCACGTACAATCACAATAGCATGTAAATCACGGATTTTATCTCAAGATGATAAAAGTTTTTTATAATAAAAATGTTATAATTATAATATTATATGATATTATAAATTTATAATATATTATATTATTACATAATTATTTTTTAAAAAAAGATTTATTAATAATATTGTATAAATTCACTTATTTTATGTTATATCATATTCATTTAAAATTATATCATGATTATAAATTTACAATATTATTTTACATTATAATTATAACAATATTATTTACGTAATATACTACAAATTTGATACAAAAAATTAACAGTGTTTTCCAGATTAGAAGGAACAGAAACACAAACCTACAATTTTAAATTTAAATTTTCAAAGTTGTAGGCAAAGGGAATAGATTGGTGCACAAATGAAAGAGGACCCTGTAACAGAGGTAAATTGTACGCAGGTGAAAATCAAGCAAGCCTGGTACCACAACTTTATATTCTTTTTAGATGACAGGTTTTAAACAACAAAGACATGTCTTCAATTGCTTCAAATAGGTCTCAATGATTACTGCATTTTTGAATTCCAAGACAATTTCGAACTTGGGGAAAAAAAAATGTGTTAATCATTTTTAATGGAGCAAATCTTGATTTTGTGCAATACACATAGCAACTTCAGTTTACGAAAGGTGGGGGGGGGGGGGGGGAATAAAAAAGAAAGAAAGAGAAGGAAAGAAAACTTTAGTGTAAAATCAATTTGGCTTGGCTGGAAAGAAGAAAAAGGAAAACTTTAGTGTAAAACCAATTTGGCTAGGCTGTGATGAAGATTGCTTTTTAAGAACGCTTTTTTACACAACACGTTATTAAAAGTATTAATTTTTTATAATTAAATTGATTTTATTTATATTTTATATATTCTAATAACTATAAGTATGTACAATGCTTTTATAGAATAATTATCAAACACTAATGCAAGTATGACACCACATAGTAATCTCAAACACAGTTATATACAGCACTCATACATATGGAACCAATCTTACCCAGCTCACATAGAGAATCAAAATAATGCTAGAAAAACAATATAAATCTTCTCGGTGCATTGTCGAGATAAGCAGCACCTGATTTGCCTCCTTTCGTATTTTGGTGGGTGAATTGTTGCTGTAGGGCATTCACTTATCACCCTGAACTACGTGAGTTAAAATGAGTCCATGCATCCTGCATGTGCAAGTTTGATTGATTAATTAAAGTTCGTGAATATGCCAAAACTAATCATCCCAAAGGGAAGAATACTTAAACAAAAAAAAATGACTTTGATAGAAAGCTAAACATTGGCACATGGTGATATTTGACTTTCCTGGAAAGGAGTCCTAAGATAGAAACTGAGAAATTAGGCTTGAACCAGACAATGGCCCATCCTTGATTTAAAGAGGTACGACAAGATTGACCAACTACAATTGTTTGTGGGTAATCAACAGGTCATCCCATGTGCATGAAACTTCAGTTTGAGTAATGGCTCGTATCAGACCTGTCTGTTATCCTCCTGTTGTCTTACCCCTTGAGATTGCTTTTATTTTAGGGGTCAAGTGGAAAATGAATTATATAGGATTACCTGCAATATATCAAAAACTTTTGCTGCAATGTAGTTTTGTTGCAAGTTGGCACCCTTCTGCTGTAGTTTATCTGGATGTAGACAGAGTAGAGCCTTTTGGTATGATCTTTTCACAGCATTTTCTTCAATTATATCCATAAGAGGCATAGGCTTCCACCCACTATCAGTCCAAAGAACCTATATTTACAGCCATAGAGAGAAAATGAGTCTTGAGGGATTTAAAGTCACAAGATATGGTTTCTTTGTGTCTCAGGTTGAGAACTATTCCTTCAGTCCATCCAAAAAATAAAAATAAAAAAAATAAAAAATTCTCCTCCCCAATCTGTATCCATGTCCAAACCGAAGTATTTCTTCCTAACAAGGGCAAAATGGCTCTCTCAATTTACTCCTGAAAATCTGACTTGAAGCATAATAGGATGTAATTTCCTGATTTACTTGGCCATAGAAAGAACTGAGGAAAAATACCTCTGCACTTACATATTGTAAAGTTGACAACAATGAACGTATGTTTCCTAGTTTTCCATTCCACCATTGCCTTATTTTGGAGTCAATGACCTGCAGTAGATGAAATGACAGTTGCTTTTTCTGAAAACAAGAGGGAAAAAGGAAAACAAAGAACATCGAGTTTTCTGTGTGTTTGTTTATGGTGCTATCCATTTTACCTGCATTCCTTCATGATCTATGTTGCTTTGCTGTACTTCTGTCTCTTCTTTGATTATATCTTTTATCTATGCATTGCACAAGACCAAGAAAAAATAAATAAATAAATAAAAAAGAGCAGATAATCATCATTCATCAGCTGTGCAGTTAAAATTATAACTTAAGCTAATATGAAGAAAGATAAAAGGATACAGTAATAACTTTAGATTTTGATGTGCAAAAAAAAATGATCTGCAGCTGATGAACACACAGAAAAGGAGAAAGTATTTGAATAGATAAATCATATACTAGAATATTCTCCTCAAAGGACTTATCTGGATCTCCAAAAACAGCTTTTGAGCCATTTGGAACTGAATTTCACGGAAATACGTGGATTCATTTAGTACATCGCACATATAGACAATGAATTCATTCAAAATGCTTCCACACTTGGAGGTGAAACTAAATTCAAGGTGGAAAATTTTGTACATGTCCAAGCAAAGTGTTTAATACATTGGTTAGTGGATGGTTTGTTTGAACAGATAACACAGCATTTCTATGAACAATATGGAAAGTAAAAATGAGCATTTTGGATGATACTATGTATTAGATCAATTTTTAATATCAGCAAGTGCATTCCAAGTTTCCCCATGGCCTGATATATAATCAACAAGATAGATTATCTGTGCAGCTCTAACATCTCAAAAACAACATGCCACATTATAATCAGATAGAAGAAGAATAAATGAACTAACCAGACTTTGTTGCTGAGCAATCCTTCTGATCATTTCTTGTAGAATCTTGTTTTGCTGTTTTTTCAAGATAATAATCCACCTGAATGATCAGAAATAAATGATTACTCTAAATAAATAAAACATTTTTAGATCAAATAAAACATCAATGGAATAAAACTAATTTGCATGTTTGAGTAACAAAGTTTATACTTTATTAGTACCTTGCTGAAGGAAAACAAACTGAAAGTGTAAGTTGAGTACCATAACAGAAATATCAGGCAAGGATTTTTCCTTTTTCATGTTGTGCATCTGCACTTTCTCATCTGTTTCACTCATGCTAATACTCACTTTATTCTCAGCTTTGACAGTTTCTTTTTCCTTCCATCTACAGCTCTGACTCTTAGAGTGTATTGATTCTAGGCTTCAACAAAGTATCCTGGTTAAACATTTTAACGAATTCTTTAAGTTTTCCCTTAACCTTGCTTTTCCCAAAATTCCCTGAATTCCTAGGAGAGCCTTGCATGCTTGTTTTACCCACATCTGCAATGTTGAAACAATTTCTTCTCCCTTCTTCTTTCTTTATGTTTTCGACAGCATCAAGAATCACAGATGATTTTTTGACGCTATTTGCACTTTCATTTTTTCCAGCCCTTTCAGTTTTGTCAACAGTATCTGCAAATGACAAAACATCCTAAGCACAAAATTACTGCCAATACATCTGATTTGGAACATGTCTTACCTTGTTGATCATCGCCATAGAATAATTTGACTCAGGATTTTCCTATGATGGTTTTACTTCTATTACTCTCAGGAAGGGAACAAGAAGCCATTTCTTCACCTGTGTTGCAAAAGGCAATATCAGCATTAACATTCTCCACAGTACCACCTAGGTGGCTCAAGGCCTCTGATTCAGGTGTGGAAACTTTCGCTTCCTTGTTGGTCTGGCACAGTTCTCCATCAGCAGTGCCTGTATTATCAGGGTCCATCCTTGAAGGCTCTGCAGTTGCTGATATTCTATCATCTGAGGCAAATGCAGTATCAGGTGATGCTGCTGTAGGTAAGCCCTTTGCCATACTTTCCCATGCTTTATGGCTTGAACATCTCTCAAGTTTATCAAGTTTATCCTTTTCTTTTAATCTCGAACCATTGCCTCCTCGAAGAGGCACGCCTAGTGGGATTCCCTTGCTTGCCCATTTGTGTATTGAGAGGTGAAAACAACTGGTGTTATTCAAAACTTCTGAGTCATTCAAACCCTTCATTGAATTGCTCCTTGTTTCTGTTTCATCACGCTTGATCAAGTCCGGCCACTCCTCTCTGCCAAGAGATAGTCCCCGAGATAAGGCACTGAGGCGTTTAGATGATTGAATACCATTTCTCAACTGGCTCTCTTCTTCTTGGGTTGAGGATCTAGATCTAGATCTAGACAGGGGAGAAAACAAAAAGGAGCTTGAACCTTTTGACTCACCATCCTTTTTTCTGTATGTACTGCCAGTAGCAGACCCAAACGTCGGGTGCACTATTCCATCATCCAATTTGGCAGGAAGGCTGGTAATTTAAAAATCAGTGGGACAAAAACAAGTTGAGAAACAGTTTTGTATAGTCAGACGAACATAAATGAATGTCGTACTAGAGCTTGTAGCTCAGTTAATAAAGTGCATGTGTAACTCTTCTCCATGAAATATAACCTGAAATTAGTAGGGAAAAAGAAAGTATTGCCTTTATATACTGGTGTAAAAAGAACCTGAATTGAGCAGGAAGTGAGTTCTGGAAAGGCTCAGCCTTTGGCGGCAGAGGCTTGGCCGGACTCAGAACTCAAAAACTCAGTGATGAAGGGAAATGTTCTTTCTCAGACTTCCTAGGGGTAGGAGAACACAACGACTCGCTGCGCCTGAAAATGTCATCGAAGAAATTATCATTGGTACATCGCCTCCGATTCAACCCTTCGTCACCAAACACAGGCTTCTCGCTTAGACCCGACCATGGATTGCCCGGTTCGTCATTTCTTCTGGGAGCATGAGACTCAGCCCCTTCACCATGCCGAATCTCCTGAACCAGAACCCAACGCGGCGGGCCGCCAAACACATCTTCAAAATCGAAATCCGAGTTTCTGTACGGCGTCTGGGGACTGTTGCTCGAATGCAACCTCTGCATATCTCAGTATGTTAAATTGTGAATCAAAAAATCGGCAGTAACCCTTTTAGGCTACATACCACCACTAGTTTTAAGGCACTGAATAATGGTTATCAGATTCAAATAAATTGCAGAGTTCATCAACAGTGTCTGCCGTCTTCCTCTTCTTTCATGCGAGGAAAAGTGCGGGGTTCAGGGTTGGGCAGATACTGAAAGCCACAAGAACTAAACTTTTCATGTGTGTGGTGTGGATAAGATTTAAGAGCAGAAAACTCCAAAACAGGAGGGAAAACCATTAACAAAATCCATTTCAGATATCAAAATCTTAACAGTGGAAGAGAAGAAAAACCAGCAGCTAACTGATTGCATTTGATCAACTCATTTCCCAGGTTTCATGGTAAATCAAACAAGAAAAGGAAATTTTGGTCGACATGAACAACAAAGAAGCCATATTCTAAGAGAGAGAATTCAAAACCAGTGAAATCCTTACAATGAAAGACAATGAAGCATTAATAAGATTTGTCAGCATACAATTTCGAAGAGCTAATGTATATGATTGCAAGTGCGTGACTGCATGCTCTAGTGAAGTTTGACAGAAACTGGATAGGGTTGATGAAGAAAGCCGCTTCACATTGCTCTCCAGTGATGGAAACAGACTACACTACCTCCATGGAGTGGATACCATGAACTGATGAGTCCATTCATGGGCTAGAGAGATAGATACTCCGTGGTTCTACTAGTTCGAGCCATCTGGGAAGCGATCGAGTGCATCTTGTTTGCCATTAACATAGAATTCTACAATTGCTTTCATTCTAGCAAGTTTATCCGGATGGTAATTTACATGAACAATAACAGGCTTCAACTTCTTTAGTTTAGCATCTTTCCTTACTGTTTTGAAGAGGACCTTGCTGTTCATGAACATATACATATCCATAGTTCTCTTGGCAGCATGCAGTCCCTCATATCCAGGATGTGAAGGAAAAAAGAGTTCCTCATTAAAAACTGCTTGGTCCCATACGTTTGACTGTGTAGCAAGCCGATGAGCAACACGATCCAAAAGTTCAATTGCAGGAATCGTAGGCCTTATATAGAAGAAACCAGAGTTGTAAACCCAAATCCTCATCGTATGAGCATAACGAGCCCAACCCATGGCAATTTCATCAAAGACGTCATTGAAACCATAAGCTGTCATATTGTTGTGACCATCAGACATGGATTCCACATCTGAATCCCGATAAAGATGGTCAAATGGGTTTTGTAAGTATACAATATCAATGTCAGAGAGAAGAACACTGTAACCAAGTTGCAAAAACTCCCTTAAGATGCGAAACTTCAATCCAGAGACAGCATGATTGCCTCCTGTTCTGGCAACGGTGTCAATACTCTTATCCAAGTCTTTCTTGTACACTGGAACATTATTTGATTTGCAGAAATCTGCAATCTGGTCATCTAATGCAACAACTAGGTAATTGGGTATGCCAACTCTCTTGATGTTAGAAAACCAGACCTCCAATGACTCCTTGACATTTGAATTTGCAAGCGCAACTATAACCTCTTTCCTAACAGCAACTTTATCCAAGATCTTGGCCAATCTCGGATTCACAGATTCATCAGGAACAACAGTAGGGCTAGTCCTCAAAGCCTTGACAGTACCAAAGGGCCCAGCTTTGTGTTGCTCACCCAACACCAAAACCTGCCTCTGTGCTTGATCTGTTCCTTGTTCAGCTAACCTTAGCTTTTCCGTCAGCTCCCTTACCTGCTTTTTTAACTCAGAATTCTTATCTGACAGTGCTACAATTTCTGACTTCAGCATCTTGATCCGCTCTGGTGACTCACATGAAGAAGAGGCAACCTAAAAGACAGAAGGAGAGACTAAAATGATAAATGAACTATCAAAAACAGAAGATTAGTTTTACAACATCATCAACCAACATTGCGTTGAGGTTCCATTCCTAACACAATAACTCAATCTCTATTCGGTGGGCCAAGATTTCCCAAGGTTTAGTTAGATAAAAAAGATTACCATGGAAAAGAAGATAAAATGACTCCAAGATATCCTTTTGTTTCTCAATAATTTAAATCAATTTCCCTTGGATCTTCAAAGTGAAGGTTAAATGAGACTAAAGTCACCAAATTGCCTAAGAAAATCAAGTTAATGAAAAATCTTTTCCCCCACCAAAGACCCAGATTATCCCAAACAAATTAACTTTAATTCTAATGAATTGACACTAGCAATGGCAGCAATCAAATCCAAACCACCAAGATTCAAAGAAGAAACAGCAAAATATTGATATTAGAAACTACTAAAAGATGAAGGCATTGAAAGGAGAACCCTCCTTACCTGGAGACTGGATTTCCCAATTCGGCGATTTGGGACAGAGGGACTCAAGCTGAGCAGCCCGTGTGGGAAGAAGAAAGCGAAGACGCAACCAAGAGAAACTCCGATCAAAATGGCTATGGCAATACGAGACAAGCGAAACGGCTGTCCTTTGTCTCTACGAGGCCCCGCCATGCCTTTGATTCCCTCAGTGAGCCAAATCAGGCGGCGAAGCTCTTTCTGTACGGCGCAAATAGATCGGAAAAGTCAGCAATCTCCGATTCTCAGTTCTGGTTTCTACGGCAGAAACAGAAACACAAAAGATGCAGATAGCCTACGGGGAAGGTTGGTCGTCGGCGACAAAGTCTTCTCTTTAGCTTGTTCAAGCAGAGTCGGTAGGATTCATTCAGTGTTTCGCAGTCTGATCTGTTGAATTTAGTCAACGGGATCAGCGGTAAGGGTTTATTATTATTATTTTTTTAACATAATTCTAATTATGGGAATAGCGGTTACGCAGCCTATTTCTTAAAAAAATAATAAATTATGAGAAAATTTATTTTAAAATTTTATTAATTTAATAAAGTATCATAATA